GAACTGAGCAAGCTCAGACGCTAACTCCATTTACAGCATTAGAACATCACCAAGAAATGCCGAACATGTGGCGTGCTTAGAAGGGAGCACCACTGGACACCAGCGGCAGCCTGTGACACTTGTCATACCAGTAAGATTTTTTAAAAAAATATTTCCACTTGCAAGCAGACACAGCAGGAACACAAGGGATCATGCTGCCCCAGAAAACAAATCTTCACACATAGAGCGTAACACGAATACTTGGCACTATATGGAAGTGATACTAACTTGGCAGCGGTGTTGGTTATGACCTAAAAGAAGAGAAAGAGAACAAACAACATCAAAACCAACCAAACAGAAAAAGTCAATAGTTTTTAGAGTGCAAAGGGCAAAAGGTATTTACAAAAGCTTACTAAAGCTTTTTCCAGACCATCTACAAATAAGAACAAAAAGTAAACGTATGCCTGAAAACCCCAACGTGATTAAGACAGGAAAAACTGTAGGGATTATAATTGATCCGCTAGGACTTAGTACGGTACCATGGCATTTTGGCTGACCCTTGAACATGACTTTATTGCTGTGCATCCCTAAAAGTACTATTGTCAAAGTGTATGGGGGGGAGTGGAGGGAAGAAAGAAGCATTTGCAGAGTATATTCTCATCTGAAAATAGCAAATGAGTGGTAGAGATTATATTCTTCCCTCAGATACTAAATATTCAGGGATGAAGTCTGTTCTCCTCAGGCTGCCCTCACAGTTGGTATTGCAAGATTGATTTTTTGGTCTTTTACATGCTGGAGAATATCCAAAGAATATATTGGTAGATGCTTTAAATCTAAAACTAAGGAAAATGCCTTTGTATTTAACAACTATTGGCCTAAATCTGACTGTACCTACATTATGCCAACAGCGGTGTAAGCCAATTAATTTCAGAATAGTCATTCCTAATTTATTCCATGTGAAATGAAGCAAGTCTGTGCATTATGTGTTTTTTTTGGATATCCATATCAGGATATTTTATTCCATCTGGTATGTACACAGTATGAAAAAACATATGTTCATGCTACATCCTGCTTCGCTGCATAAACAAGAAGTGATGGTGACTTGCACAGTAATTCCAAAGAAACACAATACAAAACTCAACGTAGACCTTATGCGGGCCAAAGCTGGGAGTGATGGACAGATAGTGTGCTCAGACTGTAATATTATATTATTTGCTAATAACTCTCTCTGTTGGTTGCACGAATAGCATTAATGGGCTATGACATTTATTTTAACTTACTTCTTTCAAAGCTTAGAATACCCATATTTTGCTCTTATAATCTTGGGTGAAGAGTAATTCATCGTATTTTGCGCAAAATAAAAAGGAAGGGAGTCCAGGATCGGCTAATAACATTTCTTCTTATTGAGCTGCACAGAATGTTGTTGCCAGAACTGGGCACTGAACCCTCCTACTTGCTGCTGTAACATTTCTGGATCTGGGATTGATACAAAATACGGGACAGCAACGTTATACTGTTAGAGTGACATTCAAAGTGGATTTGTCTCCTGCTTTTGCCTTGCAGAACCTTTGATATTACTGCTTCTTTTTACATACAGTCCTTTTGCACTGGCTCATTCAGCTGCCTTTTTCGTGATCAAAAACATCTAATGAGCCAAAGCTGCAGTAAAGGCTTTGCACTTCTGCATTTCCATGAAAAAGCAATCACAGATCACCTTCTGCAGTTGCTGTTCTTCAGACTCTTGGATTCGAGAATATTCTTCTAACTTTATAAACCCTACATTAAGCCAAATATATCAGTCTGTTACAGGAACCGGTAGAGATATATTAGGAACAAGCTGCAGCCTGTAAGCACATCAGTGATCTTATATCCTTTTTAGGTACGTGCAGGACAGCTGGGCACTCATTTACAATGAAACGTAGTGTAACAGTATCATTTTCTGAAATGGACTCTGATGCCTGCTTTAATCTTCTAATCCAGGCCTCTGCCTTACATATAATATTTTAAAGGCAGAACTACTGTCCCTAAAATGCACCTTAATTAGAGGAATCGCTTGTTTGCATATAAAAATATGTTCAAAGATAAAAATCATTATGTGCACACACTAAGAGCAGCTCAACAGCCACATGTCTCAGTAAAGATTTTTTAGATGTGAAAAGGCTACTATAGCTCCCTTCAAAAAGAGTAAAGCTTTACTTCTCCTTATGTTTAGTATGTGATGAGGAAATTCTCTCCGGTTCAGAGCCACACATTGTTTTAGCTTGACTCTAAATACAGACGCGTATGAAACACCCAACTTGCTGCTCACAGAGGTCACGCAGTAAGAAGCGAGTAACCCAAGCCACCTGGCACGTACGTGTGGGACAGGTATTTACTGCCCTTGACCTACAATGTGAAAAATAACTTACACTGGAATGAAAGAGAGCCACATGTTACAAGCTATGACTCACTCTTCGTATTTATTAATACTCCCCTTTCCAGAGCTTTCAGCACATCAAGTTCCACACTCTTAACAGGCCATCTCTATTTTTCACCCTGGGCCAGGGCGATAAAGCTTTAATGTAAAAGTCTATCAGAGAAACCAATGTTTTGTTATTCTTCACAGATCAAGGAAATAATCTCAAAAATGAATTTTAGCTTTCTGATAGGATTTTCCAAAGGGTTTAGCTAAACCTCTAACAGCAATTCACACAATTAAGTTTAAATGATTTGGTGGAAAAGACACCAAATTGAAATATGAAATATACCTTAAGATCAACCCCCAAACCTGAATTTTCTCACAGCTTTTACTATACTGCTAAATGCACGTTCATAAATGTGTAATAAATTCACAGTTTTGGAGCACCGTAATTTCACAATTTTCACGTAGCATCTCGTGTTGTACTATATGATAAGAATGTCCACAAAGTCCGGAGCTGACTTTGCAGAGCTCACAGTGCTTTCCTTGTGCACTCTTTCACATATATCCACAATGAGATCGAGACTATCATGGATGATACCAAGTCCCAAGGAAGTTACAGGTTCCATGTTACTCTCCACAGAGTAGTAGGAAAGATGCCTCTCACTTCATGGATAACACTCAAGTAGGAGTGGGAATGACAAGATTGTTGAACTCTGAATTTTCTCTGCATGTAAACAGAAATGTACAATTCTCTAAGTCTCGGAGGAATTACCTGAAAAGGCACATGTACTTAGTAGCTCTGGGCTCTTTCATCTTTTCAGATTGTTCCTAGGCTCCAGGATAAAGGCTGAATTTTTTAACAGAACATTAGATGATTTCTCATAGATTTTCTTATTTGTTCATCAATGCTACAGATATTACAGGTAGATAGTCAGCATTTCCTAAAATTTTGCTCAAACTAAAGAAGAATAAATCCTAGATGGTTGTTCTAAGGTAGAACCTTGCTTTGTAATTCAGTGCACTTCCACAGGCGTGCACTAACGTGTACATATAAAGGAGACATAAAACATGGAAAAGCAGCAGAGTGAAGACAGTGAAGTGTTTTCTGCAGGTACACCTTTTTTGCACCCCAACAATCACTGTCATATTATGTAGTCCTATCGCAATGCCCTCTGGAATCAACAGATGTGAGTGATGGATGCAGCTGTGTTTTAATTTTGATAACAAAGAAATAGTCAGAATGCTGAGCCATCCAAAATGCAGCCCCTTCACCCTCCCCCTTGCAGATGTTAAGGAGGGTTGTGAAGATAGTGGGAGAAAGATACGGAGATATACCCCAAGGAAACTCTGCATATTGAAATAAGACAAGGATTAGTTTTCCTCAAGAAAACTCTAAATTAAGAGAGAAGCATTCTGAGGTTTATTTTGCTGATCTTGCTTACTAACTGAAATTATTCCTTTTAAACACTAATTGCCTTTCCTAATTATCCAGTATGAGAAGGGAGGATAGGATTTTTTCAGATAAGTTAATTAGGATTGTTAATGTCGAGTACTCAAGAGAGTTACAATGAATCATATAAACCGCTTGAATGATCTAGAACATGTATATATGCTCTTTTATAAGGATAAAACATCCTTACTTTGCTACAATTTAAAACCCCTTGGTTTTACTCTTGCAAAGCTTCTGCAATGGGATATGAAGTACTTGAAAAATATGCATTTGCTATCAGACCTCAAGTGGATTGTCTCAATTTTCTGGTTTTCCTCATATAGCCAAGTCCCTAGTGTCAAAAGTACACTTTTCCCCATATTCATATCAAGAAATTTCTCTTCATTTTAAATAAACACAAAAGCTTAGAGATTTGTTTGCAAGTTAACACACGAAGGTAGAAAAATTAGGAAAACCTGTTTCTCATTGCTTTTTCTCATGTATTGTAGTCCAAGCTCCTCACTTCAAGAACCTACTAATAAAACAGTTGATCTGCAATACGGTAACACTGAAAACCTTGACAGCATGGGATCAAACTGTCTGGGTAGTATCTAGAGATCATTCCTTGTTACATACAAGTTAAGAGCAAAGCTAACAGATATGAGACAATGTTCAAACCAGAGGATTCAAAATATTGCAAGTTTGACTCATTTTGCATAGGAAAGCCAATACGTTAGGGCAGGAATTATAGCGGGACACTCCAGTAGACTAGCATGTCAGATTTGCTGCACAAACCAATTTCTCGTTGGGAAAGTACCAAAGATCAGATCTGTTTTATAGCAGCTTCTATAATGGCTGACAGTGATACTCGGTTCTATGAGAGTACATGCATTCGTTTAAATCACTAAATGCCAGAACCCTGAGATGATCACAGTTACTTCAGTCACAGTGTTCCTCCTCATGCTCTGGTGACTATTGCCAATCCATATTGCAATTCAGATACCAAAGACCAAGAGTTACTCTGTAATGGTACTGTGTATATGTTTTGGGGGGTACTGGAAAATTTAACGACTGTTCCAGACCTTAATCGTGATTACCAGACAAATGCACAATAGGGTAGGTACTATTACATTCATTTTTCAGCAAATTCATTACTTATCGAAATATTGAATATTTTACCATGTTACCTACCCTCTAGGAAGTCCACCTTCCGAAGCCCTTCGGTTGAGACTTAATTTATGCATCTCAGCCATTTCCCTTAGAGTCTCTGCTGAGTAAAGGCCAATAGGGTTGTTATACTGCCTTGCAGGGCTCAGCTGGTGTAAAGGACTATTGCCATCAGTCAATACAGGGCTTAGTTTTGAACCTAGATTACTCTTTGCAGGTGAAATGTCAGGAGTCACAGACTGAGAGGACATGGAAGATCTAACTGTGGTAGTCTTTAAGTAGGAAGAGCTATTTGAAAAGCTGATCTCTTGCTTGTTGAGGTAGCCTGAAAACGTTCCATTGGTTGCTAAAATACTACCCATAGGCCCAGTCGCCGTGTTAGTTAGAGGACTGAAGGTTGTTCTGTTGCCATTGATTTCCCAAGCAGGTTCCTGTAGTAGCAAACATGCAGGCCAAGAAAAGAAAAAAAGAAAAGAGCAATCATAGAACACATGCAAAAAATAACATATCTGCAATTACTGCTTTCTAAACATATTGATAAACTTGCAATAAATAGATTGGGGCCAAATCATCCCACCTTTCAGGGAAGATTTTCAACAAAGAAATGCATTGTTTCAAAATAAGGGAAGCTCAGGCATTTTTTTACTGGGTTTTAGTTTAAATCAACAAATAAAGCTTAACATTAAAAGAGCACTTGCTGCTAGTCAACCTCATAGCAGTAATTTTATATAAAGACAACATTGTCCATTAATTTCTAGGATAATTAAGAAATCTTAAAAAAATATCTTGAGGTCAGAATCATTTGAGATAATATACAAACATAAAAGTCAATGCCATTATTATAGAAACATAATGATTCTCAACCACACCATTCTATTTTCCATGAATACACTTCAAGTTATTGAAGCCCACACATTGCATTGGTTTCATAGGCTCTGGTTCATGCTAATTAGGCCATGCAGCATGGTTAGCAGATAGACCAACAGGACTCGAGAACAGGTACTGCTCAACAGAGAGGATGCTTCTATTCTGTTCATTTCTGCAGAATTTCCACTTGAAGGAATGTGTGCATGAATATGTAGATGATGAGTGTATGATCCTACAGTCAATATTCCCAGACAATATTCCTAACTAGGACAGCAGGATGTATTGTCTTAGTCCAAGTCACAGGAATCTCTCCTACAATAGCTATACCCGTAGAAGTCTGGGCTGGTGCTCAAATTAGAAACATTCTACCAAAACCTCACCCTGGAAAAATGCAGTACTATGCTTCAGTTTCATAAATGACTTGCTATTAATGCAGCTTAGTGAAACCAAAATAAAAGGTAATATCAAAAAAGAAAAATACTGCTTTTTCAGCAACGCAATGCAGGAACTAAGTTGTGGCATGAGTTCTGAGGAAGTTTCATGTAAAACTTCTGTGCTCGTGTTGCCTCAAACACCCTATCACTGCTTCAAGCTCAGTCTGGTGTAACACCATCTAAATCCCTAGGACTGGAGGGTACTCAGCACTTCGCGGGCAGCCCAGCGCACCCTTAGGGTTAAACTGCCTCATTTCCTTCCAGCTACTGGCAGTGTGTAGTGACTGCAGCTCCATACTTTTTGGAAGTCTGCCTAACCTGCAGCATGGACAATTTTATCAAAGAGGAATACAAACTTCACTTTCAGGGTGGCATTTTATAACTTTACTCTGAGTTTTCTTATTCTTTAACTTCTAAAGGCTCAGTGACCGGAACATGAGTAGCAAGATTCTAATATGGATCATTTTTAACATCTCTTTAATGTTTGCCTTTTGAACCTAGCATCCTAAGTGCTGGAACTCATCAGCACATGTTTTAAAATAATGAATTATATAGTTTCAAAACCTGTTTTATTCTTCACTTTTGTTTGTCTGTAATTATGTGCTTTGGATAAAAAAAATCTATAGCTGAGGTACCCAACAAACTATTTGAATGCTTGACAACTGACAGATTTCTCTAGAGCCATAATATCAATTTGTAGTTTATCTCAGAAGCTTCTGGCTCCAGCCTGACTTGGGCTACATTGCTTTTGCTACAGAAGGATCACTTCAACCTCTCCCTCTGGACCGAGATATGCTGCAGCCACAACTGGTACTCAGATGCCGTGATGCTTGCCGTTAAGAGGCCCACCAGTAATGCTGGCAGCATGCTGCAGTCCAGCTCTGGGGAGGAGGGACAGGCAGGGACCTTATCCTGAAGAAGGGATGGAGCCCACAATCGGCCCTCAGTGAAAGCCAGTACGAGAGCAAGTGGTGGCCTGCAGGGACATTTTGCCTCATTTGGGCTGGCACTGCTTCACTTGTCATCTTTAACATCCTACACGCATCTCCCCCATAGCCTCCCATGAAACATAGGCCTGAGAATAATTTGGCCTCTGATTCTCTACTTTTGCTAGTATTAGTTATCATTAATGTCATTTACTGATTTTGATACTAAGGTTCACTAGAAAGATAAATATTTTATATTCTCCTCTTGGATTTTTCTATATTGCATATTTAAGTTTAGGGAGATTACATTTGAAAAGTCAAGATGATATGGCCTGATTAATTAAAATTAATTGCAAAAAAACCCCTAAAGGTCTAAAGATATAATTAATCATAACACTGAATACATTTAAGATGTTTTGAATCAGAAATGTAAGGCAGATAAAATGAACTGAGAACATTTTTCTTAATAATAAAGAGGAAGAGATTTTAGCTGGCATTAATAGCTGCCTGAGGCTGTAGAAACAGATAATCCTAAAAGCATTTTTCAAACTATGCCTTTTTAAATAAATACATTTGAATTACATATTTCAGTCATTATACCCTGACATAGAAAACAGCAAACAACCAACCTTTAAGTGGCCTACTGCAAGCTTCCAAGTTAAACAAACAGAAAACAGGGATTCTCTCTAAAAATGTGTTGTAAAAGAGACACAAATGCACAAAGCCACGTTCATAAATTAAGAGAGGGACAAAACAAATATTAAAACAAACAAACAAACAAAGGCAATAGAGAAGAAAAAGGATATGCCAGAGTTATATTTGTTTGTTACCCTGAAAACCCTGTGGCTTTTATCTACATTAACTGTGGGTTTCCTTTCTAAACCCCATAATAAAAGGACATGCAAGAAGATCTGCTTATAAAGTATCAGTTTCAACTGCTAATGAGAGAAATGCCAGATATTTCTTTAATCTTAATGCATTTTCATAGTTTTGGTGTTACTGGACACTAACAGTAGGCAAAGGGAAAATTATAGGACCACCATAAAAAATGACGGTTGATGATGTTGCTCACCTTTATGATATGAATGGAGTTTTGGTTTCACTCCTCAAAGAATTTCTAGCTGGAATACCAGCATGCTATAACTCAACACTAGAATTCCTAGGAATGCAGCAGTGCCAGGTTAGCATTCTCCATTTTGAGCTAATATCCATGGTAGTTTTAAAGCAGTTGTTTTCCCTGAGTTTGGGGGGAAAGGGATGAAACAGGCAGCATCTAAGAGAGCAGCTGTATAACTTCTAAAGAATTACTGTCCAATAATCACCTTATTTAGCTCTTTCTTTTTGTGGTTGACAAAGAATCTCTCATTCAGTTTATCCCTGGTAGGATATTTTAGATTTTTTTTTTTCTCCAGTTCAGTGGCAAAACCAGATCAATGCAGCATTTCTGAAACCATTTCTGAATGTGAAGGTCAAATTTCTAATACTGAGCAGCAGCACAGCTTTTAGCATCACATCACATGAAATGCAGCCAACAGTAACAAACATTCCTCTGTTTCCCATCTCTCTCATCCCACTCTGTTTCAGTCTCTGTGGCTGGAAAAGCAAGCTAACATTTCAAACTATGCAAGCCTGATGCTACCCTTCAGCCGACCAGAAGAGGAGGCTCTGACACTGAGCAATGGGCTTCTTCCCTCGAGAAAGATGCTGTGACCCCCCGCAGCAATCCCTTACAACGAGGGGAAAACTGCATTTAATTTCCCAGCGTAATGTCAGTGAATGAGCTTAAAACTGATAAACGTAGAGGAGTCTCAAACATTTGGGAATAGAAGGAAGCTATGAATTAGCTCAATTTCCATTCTGAAATATTATTCTTTTCTTTATAAATATTCAATTTCTGTGAAAGGCAAATGCTCCTTCTTATGTATCAGAGAAGTGAGAAACAAATTTAAATGGGAAGACACAACACCAGGTTTTTCAGGTCCTCTTCCTTTGACAGTCCACCTTCTATTTATCTATCACTGTGACCATACAGTCTTTATTCATCTTTTGCACTTCTGGGAGAACAATTTTAATGCTATACTAATGAATTTGGCCTCCCAACATGCTCAAGAAGCAGCTGTTGCTTTAAACTTTTTATAGAAAGAAGGAAATGGAGGCACCAGGGCATTAAATGACTCTGCTCAAAGACATCCAACAAACAGCTTTTGGCTCAGCCAGCTCTTGCATCCTATGCTTTACTTAAAAAGTCAATAATTTCTTCATCTATTTTCTCTTAGCCACATAGGTTCCCAAATTTGGCAGGAAAGAAATCATGAGCATTATGAGATCCTCACTGGGACTCTGAAATAAGTGTATTCAGTACTGTTTCATAAACAGGACAACACATAGTCATATTATGAAAATTAAAGAGGCTGTCTGAATACATTTATGCAAAGGGACAAATGTTAAAGCTACGCTTAGCCTTAAAGCTTCAGCTTGAACATTTTGAACGGCACTGAGCTGAATCTTCACCTGTGTTGTGCCACCCCTGAAAAGCTGCAGGAACTCACTGACTGATGACAGCTTAGTTTCAATCCTTGGACTCATGCTTACTCTTCTTGTTATTTGAATGCTTTCAGCATTAGTTATGCCCTTTCTTCCAGCTAGGCCACACCTGTGCAAAAGACTCGACTAAATCTTTTGACTAAATCAAAACAATTTGACTAAATCAGTCAAACTTTTATTTCCAATAATAGCCCTACAGCTCAGTTGATGCCATATTTATGGTTGCAGAACCTGTATCATCCATAACATTGATCAGCTCAAGAAAGTAAGGAGAGAATGTATGTTACTTGTGGAATGTAGAAAAATTTCTATCATGGTGAAGAACTCTGGGGTTTTTATACCTTCCTTACATCTTTGTAAAAGAATGTATGCTAAAACACAAAAAAACATGACCATAGCAGTCAAAGAAGAAATACATGCTTGAAAATTAGTGGAAGCTGCAATCAGATCAGCAATAATGTACAAGAGAATTTATGGTTTAAACCAGACACTGAATTTGCACATGCAGATTTTTAGCTAACACTGCCATGCCTTAACCTTGACTCAGAAAAAGGTGAGAAAAACTTCTCTCAATGTTTGAGGACAACATTGTCGTGACTGTCTTGTAATGTAGCTTTTTGATGCTTTTTGAAATGTAATCGAGTTCATTTCATGTGAACCATCAGAGTCTCAATGCTGTCAAGCAGTGATGTGGAGGTGACAGCTTCTGCCTATGTGTCACGGAATTCTTCATTTCTACAGTGATACTATTACTAGAAATAATAAAGGGACAAGGAAAAAAACCTTGATTTTTAAAGTATATTTACTGTAACATACCTTATTGCAACATCCCCATACCACTGTTTGTATCAGTAAAGACTTTTTATTCTGGATTTTGAGACTTCTCCAATGGTTCAATGCTTTCATTCCCTTCCAAACCACCCCCAGAGAAGTTGTTTTCTTCAGTTAAAAATTACTCTTGCCTACTAGTGTATACTAGTGACACAAGCACCACTCCTCCTGACCTGCAAAGGGCCCCCACTCCAGCACTCTACTGCTGCCTCTTCTCCCTGGGCCAAAGACCCTACACCTAAGATGACCTTTCTGAATACTGCTAGATAGCCTGTTTCCCACCATACCTTCTCCTAGATGCCACCCTTTTCCTCCAGAAAGGTCCCGGTAAATCTCTTTTCCAGCTGCAAATACTGCCTGTAGCCCATTCAGAATAGGCTGCCTCCAACAGCTCCTATAAACCTTTCCCAAGCACCAGTGCACAGAATGCCCAAGTGTGAGACAACATGCTCCTGAAAAAGCGCTGAGTCCTTTGATCCTCATCTCTCTCTGAAGGGTTAAAATAGGAATTGTAAAGTGACTTTATAGCTTTCATGCCAAAGGCACTTTTAGGACCTTAAAAAAAAAAAACCAACAAAACCTACAGTGCATGGAGTTATCTTTTCTATCAGGTAGATAGTTTAGGGAGAAAAATGGTTTGTGTGGTAAACAACTTTGAATACCTATGGCAGTAATTTTAAAATTGACACTTGCCAGGGAAGAAATGCACCTAATACAAAGTCAGGAAAATCTGATGTATAAAAGCTTTTACGTGCCTGTGGTGGAAGTAGGCAAATTTGTCATACCTGCACAGGTGCTACTGAGAGTCCCAAAAGATAGTTGTCAATCTTGTGCCGGTGAGTAACTCTGAAGAGACATGCCTTGAAAACTAACAGCATTCTGTGTAGTTCTTGAGGGAAAATAAGTACTCTCTCCCCCTTCCTGTCCCTATTACTTTGCTGGTGCAGTCGAACACCAGTCTAACTAAAACAATGATCCATCGTTTTTACTCTAGAAAATTCACAGTACTGTTTGGTGACTCTTCCAATAACTTTCTCCAGGATAACTTTTATAAAACCATGATATAAGCGAAACAACTCTGAGCAAGGTAAAGTCTTAATTTCATCTTCCCTTGCCAAAAAGTTTACAAGATCCAGAGTGAAATAACATTATTTCTGTCTCAATTGAAAAATGGCCAGACAGGTTCATTTCAAATTTGACAAAATAAAACTGAATCAAATTATTCTCCCCAAGTGCGTTTTCTTCTGGTAGTTTGAACATATTTGCAGCAGTTACAGGGATGATGTTACTTTCTAAGCTCTGAATTTGGAAAGCATAGTGTTTATAAAAATTACTTAAAATTGATCTATGGAAGTCAGAACTGCCAAAACCAGTAGAATATCACCTAACTGCCCATATTCAGTGTTTCTTATTTATACTACATGCTAGGGATGAACCTGGCACTCACAGAAGGGGTAAAGTCTCAGCAATTGAGATTTTATGTCCTCTCCGTTTATCTAATTAAATGCATCAACAATACAAATGTCCTACCCAGTGCTTGAGCCTAAGGATATATACCATCTTTCAGGTATCCTTGCTCCTCGGTGCCTCCAAAGATACAGATGATGAGTTGCCAGGTACAGTCAATGAATGCTGTTTATTCTAATATGAACATTTATTTTATGGAAGATGATGAGCTTTGACAACAGAAACCAAGCCATCCATTTCCTCTGCCACTTGCTGTTAATCATTAAATTGACTTATCCTCTTTATTTTTTATTCTCATGTCTTTTGAATAATGTGACAAGAATGCAATGTGATGCAAGCTTTCAAATGCCCTAATGCCCTCTTTCCAAATCAGTGTCTTTTCAGTTGTAGTCAGGATTTGGATACACTGAGGCACAGTTTAATGATTCTTCCCCAAGAATCTACAAAAGCAAATATATATTTCGAGAAGCTTTGGTAGCCTCTTGCAGCCTAGATGAAAACAAACTGCTGAGAATGGGTTAGACCAGATCACATCAGAGGATAGCTGGATGCTTTGGTTCTGCTAATCAGAAATTAGCAAAATACAGATCACTAATACATTGCATTGAAGCAGTTTTGCTGCCTGTGCTTCATTCAATGTTTACTTATTTGGGGTGGGCAAAAGCTATTTCCTGTAGTAGGTATTTGCCTTCACCGCAGTAGATAGCAATGGTATTAACTTTGGCTGAGGAGAAATGTGTCACGTACCTTCTGGTGGGGAATTACAGCCCTGGGAGAGTCAATTCTGGGTGCTGTGGTTGAAACTGGCACTGGACGTTTAGATCTGAGGATCCAGGAAAAAAAAAAAAAAAAAAAAAAAAAAAGATTAGCAATCTAGACTCCTATTTTTCAGCTCTAATTTCGTGCATGATCATATGTGATCATCATGTTTTTTCTACATCCTCATTTATAAAGGTCTTAAATGTGAGAAAAAGTTTGATATAATTTCTCTCAACGATGAAAAGCTGCCAGTTACGGAAGCAAACTCTGACTTCGGAGATCATCCATTTTGCAGTACCTTGTGACAAACTGCATTTTCGTAGATGACAATCAGCCACAACTAGAGAAATTCAGTTGTGGGCAGCACTCTGGAAAAAGGGACTTCAAAGTGTCTTAAAATGCAGAGACCAAACTTTGGTACTGAGGCATCTCAAGATCAACTCCTCAAAAGATTATTATTTAATAGCTTAAATTGTATAGCAACTGCCATAATTTAAACCTCTCTGCAGGAAGAAACATGGGCTTCATTTCAGACAATTTAGTTTCAAAAGGAGCACATCACTACTGAATTAACCGCACTCCACTCCAAATGCCTGCCTTTCACCTGTATTTGACAAATGTGCATACATGATCATCTAAAAAACAAAAAATAAATGCCACTAAAATGCTTTCAAAACACACAGTTTGCCCTTTCGTTGGAACATAATGAAGAAAGCACAGTGACAAATGCTAACTGAAGCACTCTAGAATGCTCAGGTAAGTGAAGACATATTTGTGGGAGGTGTTGCGCAAACCTGCATAGTGCCGAACATCCCCCTGAAATCTTCCCAGTACATGTGGGATCACCAGAGAAAATGAAAAGAAAAATGTAAAAATAGTCAAAAGAATCAGAATTATACAAGTAATATCCTATTGCCAACCTACAGATCAGGATTATGCCCAGAATTCTCATCTTTAAAAAGTACATTTCAAAACTAGGACAGGTACAAAAATGAAATAAAAAGACTTAAAAGCATACAAATCAAGTAGAAGTGACTGAGACATTCAGAATTGTTTGCTTTAGACAGGAGATGAACAAGGGAAGACATTACAGAGGCTTAGAAAATAATGAATGGTAGAAAAAGGAAAATAAAGCTATGTTCCTGGACATTAAGTGAAATTGAAAAGACAACATATATAAAATTGAGAAAGGCAAACATTTTCTCCTAGAGTACTTGATTAACCTGAGGTTAACCTGTAACTCGTTGTTACAGGACATCATTGAGACTATGAGAATAGCAGGATATCAGAAAGGATTAGGTATTTATACTTACAACAAAAACCCCAATAGCTGCTTTAGATTGGGTAAAAATAAGTAGCCATAGAGATTCTCATTTTTCATGGCACAACTTAAAAGACTGATAGTGGAAGATCTTCTGTGTTAGGTTCATTATTTCCTTACTGAGGGTCGCACTTTCCTCTGAAATACTTACCAGTGGCATCTATCAGAGACAGAAAGCTGAGCTAGACAAAAACTGGGCTCATCCATAGTGGCAATCCCTGCATTAATACCTAGCTTCATGTTGAGCTGTGTATCTAGCTCTAGCTGCCACACAGAAAATATTTCCATAAGCAGGAGTAAACAAACAAAAAAACCCTAGGGAAAAGGAGTAATCCTCACAGGAACTGGAAGATTTCCATAGAGAAGATAGATATGAAAATTATGCTACTTTGAGAGCTGAAAACAAAGACGATGTAATAGGTGCCTACCTCACAACGAGGTACTATGAAAATGAACATAGTTTGAGGAGACAATGGAAACTGGCATTTTGTTAAACAATAGGTAATTAACCTGTGAAATTTACTGACAAAGCATTCCTGAAACAAGAGGCTAGAAAATTGTAAAAGGCACTAATGTTGATATTCACAGTTGGAATATATCACAATATACTCCCTAAGACATAATTATCTGAGAAATATATACCTTCAAGTTCTAAGAACAAGAGCTAATCACTAACTGCCTAGAACAAACTTTCCTCAGGTGAGTTACTAACTGATCTTCCCTCAGGAGTGAGTGCTGTACCCTTCGTCCTAAAAAGAGAAACAATAAATCATATTCATGAGACATGCACATGTATCATGAAAGATAGCAAAAAAGAGAAAGAAAAAAAATAATCAGCTGCAGCCCAGAACACAGTCAGAGTTGCTGAAAATTGACAGTGACAATTTATGAACAGACAAAGATTTAGGGGGAGATTCTGATCCTCCTTCCACTGGTGTCATTTCTGGGTACACCCAGTTATTTCTGTGAACTGACGTGGGGGGACCTGGGCATACTCAAGACCACGGCTGGGCAGAGCAGACACTAAGTGTCACCTTTGCTCGGCTCACCGATCATGAATTTTAGTGCCAAGGTTGCTCAGCACTGTAAACATTGTTGGTCCCATACAGACGTATAGCAGACAACCACATGCTGCATGTTTGATGCATAATTGGAAAATATTTGTATGGCAGCAAACAAATTTATTTACCAGAGTACTCCATCACTGCTATTGTTTATTGTATGTCTGGTTTTTCTCCCTCATTACCTGACCACAGAAGATGATGTTAAAAAGCTGTATTCCTTCCATGTTACTGATAAGCTACATCTGTCATTCACAGTGTTATCCAACCAACATTTTTATCTCACACTGACTTTGAGGTTTCAAGATGTTACTTTAAAAAAAAATGAGGTTCCTACATAACTCTGCCCTGGATGTTTATAGCTTTGATATTTAAAAAGAGAACGATGAGGCTTGCTAGATTTAGCAGAGGCTTGCACCAGAGACAAGGGCAGAAGAGGTGAAGTCAATTTGTGGAATGAAAGTGTATGCACTTACAGAAGAAAGTGATTATTTACATAAGAGCCATTACTCCTCAGGAAAAAACATCTGCAAGTTCAGGACTTTTTTTTTTTTTTGCTCTCTTTTGCTAGATGAATCAAATCCTGCAGCAACACAAGTTTGCTTTTCAAGTGATGATGGTGCTGTTGCAAACGTGCGTGTCCAGGTTTACATTTTAATCCACTGATTGCAAAATTATTTTATTCCAAACACTCAGGGAGTGCACTTGCTTAGTAGGGCTATGGGAGGCTCAAAGTCCAAATTTCACAAATGACTGCTAATTTTAGATTTGACGTTGAAATGTTCCATGAAGATTGTTTTTCTGAAGCAATTAATTTGATTTTGACTTTTAGACATCTTGTTCTACATTTTTAAAGTTAAAAATGGAAACAAAAACCTCATTTCAAAATGAAAACTCGGAACAGTTTTCATGATGACCAAATACATCATTCTGGTATTTTTTAAATTCTCCTCCTTTCCACAGATATACCTCCCCTCTCTCTCAACACTGGTTCTCTTTCTTAATGAAGTTCAAATCCAAGATGGATGTAGTTCTGCAAAGCCGTTCAATTTTGATAGTGCTGCTGCTATGGCTGTCAAAATTTCTGCTTGTTCCCACCTACCTAAATATATCTTTAATTGAAGAGCACTTGACTTAAATCCTGGTATCTCTGCACTCACAACAAAGGTTCATTAGGAGTCAACTGCATTAAGAGGAGCTGCCTGCCTAAGAGCGGGCTGCGGAAGAGTTCTGTAATGCACTATCAGTCTAACCCACGTCCTCAGGGGAGCACAATACTGTACTTACAGAGAGGTGACATGTTCTAACAGATAATAGCTCTTTTTCATCTTCGTGTGGCTTTTTTATATTTCGTATCTTCACCAGTCAGTGTCTATCTTTTTTCTAATTCTCAGAACAGCTAAAATCAACACTTCTTTTAAGCTTTTGCTTTAATTTTATTACACGTGAGCACTTATTTATACCTCTTTGAGCATCTTAATAATTGTATCTTAATATCTCAACCACTAGAAAATGAAAAAGGGTCCAGTGCATGGAAAAGTAATAATACAGATTAGGGTTAGAAATGCTTAGAAAACATTTTACATACTTTACTTATCACCTAATTGAAATGGAGTCATTCTGGAGTGGAATGGGAGGATGCAAAACAATAGAGCGTGTAGAATTGGGCTTCTGATGACATATCTGTTTTAATGCAATAATGGTCCGGACAATTTGGCATGGGTGTGGGAGGAAGAGACATAAAAGGGACAGACTAAATATTACTCATGGTTATCAATTTGAGGTGTCCATTTAATAAGTGCTAAGATCAGTAATGTGTCTGTTAATTCACTGTTTAGCTGAAGATTTAAGTAGCCAAACAGAAGACTCTTCTTGTTTCTAAGTCTTGAGCAGAAAATCTTGAGTGTCATGATACCGTGGTTTAATTCTCTAAGCCCTGCTTGGGACATCAGCAAACAGTTTTAGTGACTCCAATGAGAATCAAAAAGACAAAACCCTGAGCATTTCACAGTACTTCAGATATAACTGTGATCACTTTGGGGCTAGTTCAAGACCTACTTTCCCTCTCTCAGGATATTATCTGTGCCTGCAATAAAATTGAAAAGAATTTCCATCAGCAGTTTTCCTCTCTATGTATCAATGGTGAATGCAAATATTAGCATTTGGCTGGATGACTAATTTATTAATTATTTACCTGCATTGTGCTGCACTCAGATTGCAAGATATGCAATTATGCTTTCCAGACCTAATGTTCATACCCACAGCAATATAGGGACAAAAACTTCTTATGCATAAATGGCATCAACCTAAAGGGAAGCTGCTACGAAAGAAAATCTATGAAATAGAACTTGTTTGGTAATATGTAATACCCTTTTTCCCTTAGAAAGGATCTGAGTCAGGGGCAGCTGCAAACATTATGGGATAGAAAGGGAAAGGAAAAGGGATGAAGCCTTGGAGAGTTCTGTGAAAGGAAGGAGAGAAAGGGAACTGGAGAGAATATGCTTAAAGCTGAGATTTTTGAAAAGGAGTATGTATTTAAAAATGTTGGAGAAGCAAGTTCTACTCTCCTGGTGTCTCTCTGACCCTTTCTACTTCTGTGGCATCTGCACAGTGCCTGTTGCATCTTCTTTACTCTTCCCTTCCCTCCTGCTATGCAAAATCCCTTCTTTCTTGAACTGCCTG